CCACACCCACACCCACACCCACACCCACACCCACACCCACACCCACACCCACACCCACACCCACACCCACACCCACACCCACATCCACACCCACACCCACACCTACACTCGCATGCACACCCATTCTCACTTACACCCTCCCAGATACCCACATCCATCCACTCACTCACACCCACACCCATACCCATACCCATACCCACACTCACACCCTACACCCCACACCAGTGCCCGACATGGATCAATTTTTTGTGATCCGATCCGACCCGACTCGGCTACATTATGACTCGATCCGACTCGACCCGGTCACATCATGACCCGACCCGACCCGACCCAGCGACAAATTCTCATTGTGTGACGCAACACGACCAGAACCTAGTCAAACATATTTTTAAAAGTTAATTCAAATTGACCCCATTTAAGAACAAAGTTAATTATTAATCAATTTTTGACAGCTAAGTTTTAGTTTTTTTCTTCAACGTTGTGTTTTATAGTTTTTTACTTTACTTTTCTTTTATTTTATTACATTTTCTCTGTTGAGCGCAGAAATAGAATGTCATTTATTACGTCTGGAGAAATGTTTGATCGTCGTTCAGAGATAACTTGACCGGCCGCACTAAATATGCGTTCAACACTTGCCGATGTTGCTGGTACAGTTAAAATTTGGAAGGCGACTTTTGTCAGAAATGGAAAAGAGTCAGACATTGCCGTACAAAATTCAAGTATATCATTTTTGTTTGTTTCGTGATGGTCAAATTTAAGATAACGAGTTACTTCATCTTGTTTTCAAGATATTCGTGAGTTATCGACATGTCTTTTTAGATAATGACAATTGTCATTTTCTTCATCGCTATCACTCTCCATCTTTTCTGACGAAGCAACCGATTTTGCAATGATTTGTAATCGTTTTTTGAGGTATTTTTGAGCTTGGGTTTGTTCTTCTTTGGTTTCCTGCCGCAAAGTACGATAGTTGGGATTCAACGTGGCGGCTGCAAAATGTATATCTTGTAGCTCTATTTTATTTTCGAGGATAGCGGTACACTTATTTTTTAAAAAATAGAGTACCGATGAGTCGACTGTTGTCGTTTTAAGTTCATCCTTTAAATACCAAATACATGGAACTACCATGGGTAATGTAGGACGATCCTTCGCTTGAAGGTCGACGATAACCCGTCGAAATTGTTCGAGAAACCAGATGAGGTCCTAAGAAATAATATAGAAGTTTCAAAAATAGAAGAAACTTTCTTATAGTTGTTATTGGAGCATATAGCTATTGAATATACCTAGGATAAGTACACCATGGGTTTCTCCTCTGATTAACTTAAAAAGCCTAACTGCAATTTTAAAAAATTATAGGTCTTACATTAAGTAATTTTCGATCTACTGATGTAACAAGATGTAATACATTCATTTCAGATAGAATTACAATAAGAATATCATATGATCTATCGATGCTATTTAGCATTGCGTACAACGATAGCCATCGTGCTTGATTTTCTTGAACAAGACATAAACCACCTTTTTCTTGAATTTTTCGGTCTAAACCAGTTTTTCTGACGTATCGAACCATCTTTTTACACTTATTAATGGTTAAAACGACTTCATGTAATGGATCGGTACATTGATCATCAAATTCATCATCAAATTCATCAGAATCTGTTTGATCGGATTCCGCTTCCCTCTTTCTTTTTCTAGTAGGTTGAAGTGCATCAGCATCAGTGGTTTTGGGCACTATGTTTATATCAAAAAGATTAATAAATCTTAAAATTTTTTACTAAGGCAGGTCTCTTACAGGTGATAGTATCAAGGAGAACATTATTTATACGATGAACAATACAGTGCACAATTTGTTGTTGTGACAGAGCTGCTTTCAAATTCGAATCACAATCAATAATGAAAGTTGCTGATTTTCGATACTGTTGAACATCGAATTCGTCAAGAACAGCATCAATCAATTTGGATACATTCTCTGTAGTTTTTTTTTTGATATAAGAACTCACGACAGCATAAATCAACAGTATTTAGAGTAGAATCTTCCATAAAAATAGCTGTCATACCTGTAAATACAACGTGAATACATTCAATCACGTAAGAGAGATATTTTTTATACCTAAATATGCTTGTTTTTTTTATAAAGATCTGTCTAAATATCCGGACTAAAAGCAGGCTCATCACGAGATCCTGCTGCTGCTAAACGAGATGCTACTTCTATTCTAGCAATTTCAGTCAGGCTTTGAACACGTCGCTTGACCGTGTTGGCACAAGGCAAAACCTTTTCTGCTGTTACTTTTTCAGCATGTGAACGCCCATAGCGAACACCAATATCCAACAAAACTTGCGACATCATGACGAATCCAGGATCTTCGACACATTGGAATGGACGAATGCTGGTCACGCACCAGTTTGCGATAGAATCAATTAGTTGCGTACGGTGTGAATACGATACAGCTTTTTCTTCAATAACCTATGAAAAAATAGACAGTTTCATCTTATAGTTTGCTAACATGAATGATAATAAAGGTGGGCATAATTCGCGAAACGTTGGTTGATTAACATCCTTCTTCGAACAGTTGTGATCAGTAAGATTTTTTGTACTTGTACCTTTAGAACCAGAACGAAATACAAATGTGGTAAAACACACTTTGGAACTTGCAAAACCATCAATAATTTTAAATTCATTAGTTGTCTCATCTATAATTTCAGCTGGTAAACCAAACGTTGACCAGCATGAACTTGTAGCATTCTTTGAAGTGTAGTCTTTGATCACATATTTGTTTGGTTTTGTTCGAAGAAGTTTTGTAATTTCGCTCGAATTCATTGTAATTGCAAAAATTTTGATTTAGAATAACGCAATATGAAGGACACGTGTAATATTAATTCTCCAAAAGTATGTAATGCAAATAGCAACGATAAAAAACAGAATTAAGATGCAGTCACGCATCGATATATATTCATGCTTTGTTTCTATTTAGTTCTATGTTTCTATTTTTTCTTCTATTAGATTATATTCTTATGTTTTAACGTTCTTTAACAATTTCTTTCTATTTCATTGTGGTACGAGCACTATCATCTTTAAATAAAAGAACTCGTTCTTTTTTTTTCTTTTCTGTCCTACCTATGCATATATATATACACACATATATATGGATACATATATATATTTATATATTATGTGTCTTTTTTTCCTTCGCACGCCATACATATCCACACATATCGATTTGCTTTTCTTTTCTCTTTTCTTGAGAAATTCAATTTTTCAATTCTTTGTTTTTCTTTACTTTATTACCTAGTTGGGAGCAACCAATATGTCTTCAACCTTTTTTCTTTCTTTACATTTCCTTGATATTGCGTAGTTAAGGCAGCAACCTTAGGAAATAAAACTTTTTCTTATTTTCCCTCATTGTTTGATGAATATAATCCAAGGCCTCTGTGTTACGATTTAACATACAATGTACTTGCTATGTATGTTTATGTTATATCGATGAAGACAAAATGATGAAATAGAACAGAAAATACATGATACATAGTTTCTCGTTGTATCAAACTTTTTCACGTACTCTGAAAGAACTTTCAGCTGAAAAATATTCAGATGTATGACCCGATCCGACCCGAGATCAAAAAAATTTTTCGCAACTCGACCCGACCATGTAGTGATCCGACCCGAGTTCAAGTGTAACTTTCGTGATCCGACCCGATCCGAGTCGGACATTGCCCCAAACTCCACATCCACACCCCACACCCCCAAAATGTAGAAGCAAGGATATTTAATTTAGATCCAAATTTTGTACCAGCAGCACCACAGCAAGTTATAGAACGCCTTCCAAAAGAGATAGGACAAATGATGGAAAAAGTAGCAGCAGCATGGAGACGAGCTACCAACACTCTAGGACGAGATCCACCCATTGTAAACAAATTTTGTCAACGCATAGAACAAGAAATTAGAAAAATTGTATCAACAAAAGTTCCAAGAGACCCGATCATAAAGCCAGCTACAGAAGTTTTTCAAAAAATTCAAAAACACAAGAAAGTCATTTTTAGACAAGCAGATAAATCTAAAGTTTTCCATGCAGACAGTCGAGAAAATTATATAAAAAAATCAGCAGAATACATGGCCAAAACCAATGCATATCAAGAGATACCGACGTCACCACTGAGAGAGATGATAGAAAAGACAGGTGAATTTTTACGTAATTTAGTTTCTAAGAAACAAATGCCCCAATTTATGCTAGATAAATTAAGACCTTCTCTTACTGAATCTGAACTACTTCATCTCTCTTATTATCCGAAGGGCCACAAAATTAGAGAACCTCTTAGACCCATAGTTAGTGGAATGAAATCTCCATTAGAAAAACTTTCTAGCTTTATAGATCAAAGTCTTCGGCCACTTTTCGATAAACACACCCCCTATTCTCTCCCCAATTCGATAGTCTTTCTTAGATATTTGAAAGAATTCAAGACAACACCGAAAACAAATTTGTACACATTTAATATTACAGACCTGCACACTATGATTCCAGAAAGAGTAGCGGTATTAGCTGTATGTAAATTTCTCGGTAGGCACGGATATAAAAAAGTTTGTGGCCTATCGATCAACACGATAAGAGCTCTTTTTTTTACATGTATTAGACAACTCATATTTCGTCCTACAGCTTCCGGGATTAGAACCGAAATTTTACAAACAAATAAGGGAAGGGGCAATGGGATCGGCATGCACTCAAGTACTTGCAGACATTTACGTACGGAAATGGGAAACTTCCTTTGTAGGACATCAACATCAACAAGGTGAATTATACTTCCGCTTTAGAGACGATATCTTTTTGACTACCAGATTATCATCGGAGCAGATGGAAGAAATTATAACAGAATTGAACAAAAAAGATTCGAACGTAGGTATCACATGGGAAGGAAAAAAACAGTTGATTATCTAGATGTGAAAGCAGCTGTAGAAATACCTAATTTTAGAACAATAGTTTTTCGAAAATTAGCAGTCCAACCCTACGTTCTTCCATTTAATTCATCACATTCACTTCACATATTTAGGAATATACCATATGCTGCTGCACTACGAGCAACTCGCATATGCTCTCATTCAGTAGATATCCGATACTAGAAAAAATTAGAATTATGCTGTTGTTAAATAAATATCCACCACAATTTATAGATAAACAAATAGGACGTTTCTTTAATGACTTAACAGGAGAGAAAACACCTAATATACTTTTAGGTAATGACCATCAGAAATTCAGAGATATAGTATTGGATTTTACATGGAAGAAAAAAGAAAAAAGAAAAACAGACTTTAGTAAGGACATCTTCCTCCATTTCAGCTATACCCCTTCTTTAGCACATTTCGGTTCTCATTTCCATCAGATCTGGCAAGAAATATTAGAAGGGACACCACTCGATGATATACCAGTTTTATACGCGAACTGACTCACCGTTTGCTTAAAACACCTATTAATTAAAAAAAGACCCAATAAAGGAGCAACACGGCTCCCTCTCAATCATCCGTAGAGAATCTCCTAACGTTTCTTTTTGCTTCTGTCACAAGATATCGTCGACAAAGAGATTAACCTAGCTTATACGCAAAGAATAAATTCTCCCTAAAGAAAGATCTTCTCTGATATTTGTCATTGTACGAATCACTATTGTTTTTTTCTAAAAAATCGACTCTACGCTTTATATAATTGCTCTTTATCTATTTTAAATATCGAACCTCATCGACTCTACACTTTATATAATTACTTCTTATCTATTTTAAATATTGAACCTCGACAACACTAAAAAATCGACTCTAATGTGCTATATAATTCTTATTTATATATTGAACAAGGGGGAACCAGCAGAGACTTCAGCCGTGAAGTCTCATGAAGTCTTGTAAGTCTTTTGAAGTCTTCTGAAGTCTCTTGAAGTCTTTTGAAGTCTTATGAATTATCATAAAGTCTCATAAAGTCTCTGAAGTCTTTGAAGTCTCTTGAAATCTCATGAAGTCTCATGAAGTCTTTTGAAGTCTCTTGAAGTCTCATGAAATCTTATGAAGTCTCATGAATTCTTTTGAAAGTTTTGAAATACATTTAGTGCATGAAAACTCATAAGAAACCAATAAAATTATCTTGTTTTCGACGATTTTATTTTAGCAGAAAAGTGAACTATTTATTGTTTTTTTTTCAATGCGCTGGAAAAAATTCAAGCTTGTTTGGTCTTAGTAAACGTAATAGTTAATAACTGAATCTTTTTGAATGAAGTGTTTTATTTTTATAAGAAATGTTTTATCTATCCAAATCAATCTGATGAAGAATTTTAATCCTTTTTGTTTGTTTCTATCACTCGTGATAATCTATCAGCCGATAAACGGCTAGCTTTGTCAGTTAATAACCAACAAGCCGTTTGCTTGTGTATAAATTTAGTCTTGTTATTTATTTGCAATTGAAAATAGGAGTTTTTCATTGCTGGATTGATCGAATCAAATATACGCATACCAGTAAAATTTATTTTCTCAGTTTTAATTTCATCAACACTTTGTGTCGTTGCCGCATCTTTATCTTCTTCATCCACATTGATTAGATCACTATTAAATTCATTACTTTCCATTGTTTCATCATTATAATCAGATTCAGAATTTGATGAAGAATCTGCATCCGTTGTCGAATAAGTATCCGAATTAATGTTGAATCTAATACTATCAAATATATTTTTACTTAAACCATTAAGTTCACAAGCATTGCATTTCTTTAATGAAGGTAATATATTCAAATTACTAACTACAGTACTTTGGCGTCAAATTCATAATGAAAATTTGATTTTTTTCAGTTTTACTATTTTTTGCTGTTTTGCATTTTTTATAAACAATAAAAGATATTTATTATGTGTTGTGGCTATGATCATGTAGAGGCCGCTACCAGCTATAATTAACCCTATGTTAACAAGTGACAGCTATTAAGAAATCTAAACAATTACTCATTCTATGTATAACTGTCTCTTGTCGTATTTTGATTTTTTTATTTCATTGTTAAGTGTTTATTATAGTTTTATACATCTGTTATATATACTTACACATAGCAGCTATCATTTGCTCGTAGCGATTTATTTAATTGTTCTTATTCGCTTAGTTATAATAGAAATGAATATTGATCCTGGTAACAGTAGTGGTAATCATGGTCGTGGTGGTTTTCGTCTAGGTGCTGGTCGCAAGCGAAAAGAAGAAAAATCATCAATTCAAATCATATTAAATGAAAGAAGAGAACAAGCTACACGTAGACAAGAAATGTCGAGATACAGAGCTAAATTAACACAATGGATAAATGAAATAAAATGGTCACATCAAGGTATTACATCAACTTATCGTGACAATGCAACTGCGCTACTGGTTATTTTTAATCTTATGTTAGAAGATGTTAATCTAACACACAAGAAGAAGCAACTGCTAAAGCTAGTATATATTTGGGTCGTGGTGTTTCTGCATTGAGTATACTTATGGCTTATTGGAATAGATACGAAGAAATATATGTTGAATCAGGTACGAGAGGTGGATCAGCAGGACAACAATCAACAAATTTATTTACATCTTTACCTTATTTTATCATACATACTATTATGGATCGTTATGCTGAAGGTACAACTACAACTGTTAAAGATATTCAACAAATGATTGCTGATACTTATAATCAACAAATAGGTTATTGGCCGATATATTATCTCATGCATGATAAAATGAAATTATCATATGGTTTATTAAAAGATTGTACAAAACTAACACAAGATCCTGATCGTCTGAAACGTATTCGTCAATTTCTTATTAAATATTCCGTTGCTTTAAAT